AAAAAAAAAAAAAAAAGCATTTTAAGAGGTATTTAAGGTATATTAAAGGCATACTGTAAATGTGTTAGGTGCATTTTGTTGCCCAATTGATTCTAAGTTATTACAATGCTGTTGAGGAAGCAAAATAGTTACTGTTCTTTCATACTGCTTTAGAAGCTTGATCAGCTTTGGAATTTGACAACAATGTAATAAAAAGCTGTTTTTTAATGTCTTCAAAGTAATCTGCTTGATGAGTATGTGAAGATATCCTTTGTTTCTTCTCTCTCTCTTTCTCTTTTTGTTCTGCTCACCATAGTCAGTAACACTCGGTTTATAGCAGCAGTTATTGAGCGACACGCCCATAGTCCTGAACGCAGACGCCGTTATTGGGGACGATCAGGAACAGAAAGCGATCATGGTAAGATCATAAGAGGCCATTCATCTTGCTTCTGCTTACAATATAACATATTTTCTAAGAAAGTAATCCCAGGGCTGTTCTTCATTTAAAACAAATTTGATGCTATCCATTCCAGGACGAGTCCCTTGCCAACTTTGAAGCTATTTTCATTTCATTCCTCCAATTAGCATCTTAATCACTGATATATCAACACTGATATATGAATATGCACCCTTACAAAAGCAAAGTTTTTACAAAAATTAGTTTCCCCTCTTTTCCCAGTAGGGTAATTTGAAATGCATTTTAATGCTTGTCCCTTTAACTTTGTTCTATTTGATAAAGAATAACACTATTTCTTTTTTTAACCAAACAGTGTTTACTTTTAAGCCCATAGATACCAAGAGTTTATTTCTTGTTGCTAGGTTAAATCAAGCCTGGGTTAAATTTTAAAAGGTTGAATGCCTTCTTGGCTTACTGGTATGCATGATGATTCATAAGAAGATTTGTGACAGACAGAATTACTGCAAACACAGTTCTCCTTTGGTTCACATAGAAATAAAATGATTAAGGAAGAAGGATTTGGGCTTTTGTGACAATTCTTCCTAAATTAAAAAATAACTTACAATCCAGGCTGGGAATGACTGTTTTACCACATAATTGACCAATCACACTAGACAGTTGTTGCTAAATCTTCCATCCTCTATCAAATTGATGAGTCCACTAAGAGGATTAATGTGAGGTTGGCATATTTTTTTTGCCAGGGCTGTCAGCTGTATCTTCGTATCACTTTCACTATAAATACAGTATGATACACTAAATACACAGCCAGGACAGAATGAGAAGTTTGTATTTGATTTCCTGGAGTCCTTGAATGTTTCTAGATGTTCACTCCAGTGACGTGCGGTGAGGTTTATGGCTGGTGAGGCAAAAAAAAAGAAAGTGGTTTTTGCCCATGCGTAGCGGGTGGGCGCATGCGCGCATACACACACTTTTCCCACGTGACGATAGCACCCATCAACTTTGGCCATTCCAAAGGGGGGGTATTTTCCCTCCCCAATGTGGTGAATTGGAGGAGAGGGGCGGGTTTACCTGCTGGGGGGAGGTAAAGAAGTGCCT